AAATGTTTAGAATTCTAATCTATCGAGAACTTTCATTGTAAAATTTAATACAAAGTGAAATCCCTTTATTTGAAAGAAATTCTTTCTTTGCAGTATTATCCAACAATTGGGGTGAAAAAATACCAGCACTTTTCCAGGAGCTTATTTCTGTGCCACTTTGACTTTTTCTAAAAAATATATATATTCTTTAAATAACATACCTTACAAAAATGTGAACATACGGAGTTTTTATATGTTAGAAAAAAAGAAGAAATGAAGTCTTCCTGTATTAAAAAATGCCGAAAACAGACTTTAATAGCATCCATTTGTGAGGTGTGTTATGTCAAGTTTTTTTTAAAAAAATCTCCAAATATGAATATTAGAGTTGGCCTACTTGTCAGTCTTTTCTAATTTGAAAACTTCCAACCTGCAAACTTATTTTCCCCCCTCAGACATAATATATTGACAATAAAATAATTAACAGATTAAAGGTGTGAAGCTCATTTATCCACTAATTTTTGGTTAGAACAGCTTTTCAATACGAGTCACAGGGGTAACCAACATCCATCCAGAAAAATAACTGGGAATCAGCAAAGCCTTGGCCTTCAGTTTCCAGGGCTTTTAGAGACATCCTACACTGGCTACTATTTCCAGAAGGCTATGTTATACAATGGAGAAATAAATGGCCATCCAGTTTTATTTAAATTAGAAAAGGTACAAATATATATGCAGCATGTTTAGGATTTGCTGTAACAATTCTAGGTAATAAGAAGCTAACATAAGGTAGGTGTATATCTGTGTTGTTACATATCAGCTAAGGATATGGAGAAAATGGAACCCTGTGCACTACTGGTGAGAATGTAAAGTGGTATAATCACTATGTAAAATAGTATTGAGGTTTCTCAGAAACTTAAAAATGAAACTACCAGGAGTCCCACTTCCAGGTATTTATCCACAAGATTTTAAAACAGGATCTTGAAGAAATATCTGCATTCTTATATTCATTGCAGTGTTAATCACAATGACCAAGAAGTGGAAACAACTTAAATGTCCATTGATAGATTAGTGGATAAAGAAAATGTATATACATACAATGAAATACTATTCAGCCCTTTAAAAAAATCCTATCATACGTTAAAACATAGGTGAAACTTTGAGGACATTATGGTGAAATAAGCTAGTTATAGAAGGACAAATACTGCATGATTCTACTTACATGAAGTATCTAAAGCAGAAAGCAGACTGGTGATTTCCAGGGGCTGGGGAGGGAGAAGTGGGGAGCTGCTGTTCAATGGATACAGTTCCGGTGATACAAGACAAAAAAGTTCTAGAGAATTGCTGTATAACAGTGTACGTAGTTAACAATACTGTACTGCATATTTAAAAATTTGTTGAGAGTAGATTTTATGTTAGGTGTTTTTTGCCACAATTAAAAAAATGCAAAGTGATATAGCCACTTTAAAAAAAATTGACAATTTCCTACAAAGTTAAACTTAGTTATGCAATATGATCCAGCAATCACATTCCTAGGTATTTATTACCCAGTTAATTTGAAAACCTGTGTCTGCATAAAAACCCGTCTGTGACTGTTTTACAGCAGCTTTATTCATAATTGACAAAAAGTAAAAACAACTAATTTCCTTCAAAAGAATGAATAAAAAACTGTGGTACATTTATACAATGAAATATTATTCAGAGATCAAAAAGAAATGAGTTACTGAGCCACAAAAACACATGGGAAAACCTGAAATGCATATCACAAAGTGAAAGAATCTAGTAGAATCCCAATTACATGACTTTCTGGAAAAGGCAAAACCATAAAGACATTTAAAAAATCACTAGTTGTCTGAAGCTCAGAGGAAGGTAGAAAGGGATAAGCAGGTAAAGCAGAGGGGATTTCGGAGGTGCTGAACTATTCTGTACAGTGGATACTTGACACAAGGTATCTGTCAAAACCGAGCACTGTTTAACAGAGTGAATCTTAATATATGCAAATTTAAAAATCATTTAGGAAGTTGGGGGATCCCAGCAAAGAATACAGGTAATGGTAAAAAATCTAACAAGTGTATAAAACAATCTCACTGAAGGGAGTGGTGGGAAAAAGTACTGACCTACGTAACTTCAGAAATGAGTGCAGTCTGTAAGACTAAAGGCAAAAGGAACAACCCATAAATACCTCCCAAAAGGTAAAGTCATTTCCCACGGGAGTGCTGATTCACAATTCAGATACTGCTGTGTATACACTGGAATTGAACCACTGAATAAACGGATGGTGGATGGTGGAAGTCAGAGTTCTCACCTCTGGAATATGAATTTATAGATAGGAAGGGTAGCAGGCTAGAATGATCCATGTGATAACAGACTGGAGTTGGAGACAGAAAGATGAACTCATTTGTAGCTTAATAGAGACACAGATGGTTATATAAAGAAATATTTATATAACAGGTTAGTAAACAGGTTCGTTTACACGCATATATTTCTTTGTTCTGTCAGTGGAAAGAGCCTAAAAGAAGCAATATTTCAGTAGCAATAAACAAATCTAGCTTGGTTTCTATTGTTCAGTATAATGAACCAGGGCTTCTTGGAGAGATGGCTGATTCTAGGACAGGGCAGGAAATACGAAGAGAAGCCTGGAACATCTTGTATTGCCAGAAAGTTAAGGAAATAATATAAAAATAAATAAAACCCACCCCCACTAATCGAGGTATATCAAAAGGAAAAGGAACCAACTGGTCAAAGCCGAAAAAAATTTTGAGTAGTAAAATTAGTATTGGATTATAACCCAAAGTATAAAATTAATATCCATGAGTCCATACTAAATAAACGATTAAATAAATTAATTACTAGGAGAAACGATACAAATCTGTACAGAAGAATTCCAAAGATTTATGTAGATAATCTGACCTCAAGGAGGGGGAGCACAACTCTTCATTCCTTAAGTATGGGCTACACATAGTGCCTTCCTTCCAAAGGGTACATACAGGAAAAATAAAGAGTAACTTCACAGTGAAAAAACCTGACAAACACTACCTCTGCCAAGTGATCAAGGTCAATGTCATCATAGATCCTGTTAATAGTATGTACCCTTGATATGTGATGTAAATCTACACTTTACCTCTGTGATCTTCTGTCCCAAAACCCATTCACCCAGTCTAACCATGAGAAAAACATTAACTTCTATTAGAGGGCATCCTACAAAATATCTTACCCACACTCCTCAAAACTGTCAAGCTCATTAAAAACAAGGAAAGTATGGTAAATTATCACAGCAAGAGAAGCCTAAGAAGGCATGACAGCTAAATATAACATGGAACTCTGGGACAGAAAAAGGACATTAGGTGAAAACTTAGGAATTCTAAATAAACTATGGAATTTAGTTAAAAACAATATATTGATATTAGTTCATTAATTATAATAAATTCATCATACTAATAGATGTTAATAATAAGAGGAACTGGACTGGGGTGTATAGGATCTGGGATCTTCCTGTACTATCTGTTCGATTTTTCTGTAAATCTAAAACTGTTCTAAAAATATAAAGTCTATTTACAGAGAAAAAAAAGATAAGCTATAGATTCAGAAAAAAAAATACTTACAATACATATATACAGATGTGTATATATATGATAAAGACTGTATCCACACTATATAAAGAATGCCTAAAACTCAACAATAAGAAAACAATACAATTTAAAAATGGGCAACATATCTGAACAGATACTTCACCAAAGATATACAGATGGCAAATAAGCACATGAAATGATTTGTCATTATTAAACTGCAGTGAGATACCACTACACACCTATTAGAATAGCTGAAATTAAAAAAATTGACTGTACTAAGTGTTGGTAAGGAGACTATGGTATAGAATGTAAAGTGGTAAAATCACTTTGGAAAACAGTATAGCAGTTTCTTGAAAAGATAAACATAGATGTACCAGATGATCCAGCCATTTCATTCCATTCATAAGCATATGTCCATACAAACACATATGCAAGAATGTTAACAGCATTCTGTGTATTGTACTAGCCCCAAATTTTAAACCACCAAAATATCCAAGAACAGATGAATAGATAAGTTACAGTAGAATTCTACAGTAGAATACTTCGCAACAATAAAAAGGCATAAACTATAGCTATATGCAACAACATGGATGAATTCAAAATAATGCTGAAAGAAGCCTGATCACCTATACATAAAAAGTACATACTGTATGATTCCCTTTATATTAATCTCTTGAAAATGTTACCGAATCTGTATCTTTAGCAGCAGGAAGCAGATTAAGGGTTATCTGGGGGGAAAGGGCACAAGATCAGGGATTACGAGGGTATAGGAAGCTTTCAAGAGTTCACCATCTTGACTGAGGTGATGCTTTGCTGGGTATGCATGTGAAAACTTAGCAGATTACATACTTTAAATATGTGCAGTTTATAGTATGTCAGATTTCAGTAGTGTTTAAATATGCTAATGTAGGGATAACGTGGTGAAAGGGGGACTAAGTAGAGCAGGAATTTTTCCTTCTCAGAGGAAATACTCTATGGAGAACTGAAATTCAGAAGGACCCTCGATCAGTGCTATTTAAAGTGCTGGTCTACAAACTGTTCTTGATCCATAATGACATTAGGAACTTGCACAAGAAGGTAAAATCGGCTACCTCTCTAAGCACACTGTTTAGTTCAGTTGACACTGTTTTTCAAAAGCAAAATTTCTCAGTGAAGAAAGCAGTACATTGATGAACATTCTGGCACAGGCTCCTCATCTAATCACTAACCTGTAACAAACAGTTCATAGACTAGCATTAGTCTACAGACACATTTTGAGTAGCACCAACTAGATCACACTCAGGTATTTATTAACCTCCCTAAGCTTATCAGCTGTTTGATGAGAATAGCAATAACTTCTCTGAATGCCTCAAATAATAGTCTGATGCTCTAATGAGCGATGAAGCTTCCAAATAGCAGGTAGCAATTAATTATGTATTATTGTGTAATGTAGAAAGTCATTTGAAATAAAGCAATATATAAAAATAAAATGGTATTTTTTATTTGTTCAGAATGCTTGTTTTTAAAGTTAACTAAAATTTAAAATAACCTGTTTGCCAATAAAGTTGTTAACATCCCAAACTGTCAAATTCAATATTAAGAGTTTAAAACAAAAAAGAACATACAGATGTAGACTTAGCTAATATTTGAATAATAATATATACACTACACAATGACATATATTCTTTTTATCAGAGTATACTCTCCCAATTGGATACAGAAATACAAAAGTAACCATGTTATTGCATTGTTCCCATGTTCTAGTATAAGATTTTAGTTTCTAGAATTCATAACTCAAAACTGTTCACATATTCAGTTATTTTTTTCTTGTTCATGTCTGAAGAGCTTCTTTCTCTAAGAAATTTTACATTTTATAATCTTTCCTTTGAAATGAAAAAGATACAGAATCTCCTGAGTTACATATGCAGCTTATACATTCTTTAAATGTGATTTTTTTTTAAATATCACAAATTAGTCATATGTATTCATAATACACATCCTTGCTATTCACATACTTTGTTAAGCAAGATTCAAGTATATTTGTGCTTTGTATGTTTACATTACTTTAGAGCCTATTTTTAGTTTTTAATAAAACTCTATATCTATAAAGATTTCTCAAATATTTAATAAATGAAACAGAACAGTCATTACGAAAATATAAACCACTATTATAGGCTTTTATCTTTCATTTTCTATGCATTTCCTGTCAACCATGTAATTTCCTGTTCTTTAGGGAAGTTGATAATTTTTATCTTTCTAATCTCAATACTGCTGCTTTCTCAGCTTAATAGTATCTCACAGGTTTTCTGAACACACAGTATTCATTCTGTCATATCAGTTGTAGCAGTGGAATCTGATAATGTGGGCATTCATCATTTCCAGTTATTTCAACTGCAGGACGACCTTAAAAAACAAAGCATGAGGAAGAATCAGTTTATACCTGAATGATGCTAATAGCTGCTAAAAGAGATGCTTTGAAATCTCTGAAGTGCCTTGAGAACTGATAACAAATACACTGCACAGTAACTGATAGCAGGCACATGCCTGCCAGGATCTATGGTTCAGAATCTTTTCACATTTACACCAGGCTCTATCACACACCCCTCAGATATTTAGCCCCATTCAAAGGCAAGCCAGTATGGTTACTGGGCACATGGACCAGTCATCGAGGCACCAGAATATTTGATTAACTTCAGAACATAGAGGGAAGCTGTGGTACACCAGGGTTTAAAACAGAAAAAGCCAAGAAGATTGGTCACTGGCACGAGAGGTTGGCAAGAATAACTGACTTGAATCATTGAGACTTCATCGCTAGAGAAAATGCTGAGCGATAACAAAGGAATATACGTAACAAAGATAATTATTTTATTTCTTCCTCACAGCAGTAGTTTCTACCGTTTAAATATTATTTTTCTCATTAATTTAACAGTAGGAATGGTTACTGTTATTTAGCCATTCCCATGAAAAGGTAAAGCTTTTAGTCATTCATTAGTTCTATCTTGTCTTGACCTGATTTTGTCAAATAACTACAAGCCAAATTTTCTTTCTTGCACCTAAAAAAATGTACTATTATTGTCCAGTTAAATGAGAAACTCTTCAAAATCATCCTATTTTTAACCACAAAAACTCTTCAGAATCATCTAATTTCAGAGCTCCAAGGTAAAAAATTAATTTTTTTCATTAATGAGCACTGGAGCAAAACAAATCTAGCTATTAGAACAGCACTATTATTCTTTCAAATATAACTACTTGATAAATTATGCTCAAAACTAAGTAATTAAAATTACAAGTTATAATTAATTTAATATCTAAAACTAGAGATGTAGAACATATCAACAAGGTATTTTTTGTGCTTGACATAAAAATCAAGAACAAAAGAAATGTTAAAAGAGAACTATGAGTGTTTCTTACATTGCTCTAATGATATTAATCAAAACTTAAATATTTTAAATCATACAACAAAATTAAAATAAATACCTTATTAGCTGCTTCCAAGGAATTTATTAAATTCTGCAGCTCTTCTTTACTCATTTCAACAGAATATGGTTTGATTTCACCATTTTCTTTTACATCTAGATGAAGGTTTAAAAGTGGCATTTGTAACGTGGCAATCTTGTCACTAGAAAGTGCAAGCTGTTTAAAATGAGATAACAGTAATTAATAAGTACTAAAATATATTAAGTATGCATCAGAGCCTATGAACAATACATTTAAAAAATACTTCTGTTTGCTGTAAAGTACAGGGGAAGGTGGAAAAAATAAAAAAGTTAAACTCATGCCAAACCAACCAATGTTTAGAGAATGGAAAGAGAGTGAATAAAAGAGAGGACATAGGTTAGGAAAGTAAGACAACCAGTCAGCACATTGTGGCAGAAGCAGAAATCTAGAGCAGAGTTATGGCTGGGAAGTACATATGCTTCTAATGGGTCCAATGCATCAAGAAACAGAGAATTCTTAAGAAGTACAAAGATATCAAGAGGATAAAAATCCACATACAAAGATAAAACTAAAAATACTGGCAAACTCAGAAATTAAGATGCTTAAATCATGATCAGCTAACTCTCTACTTAACTATTGATAACTGTTATCAAGATGCCATCTGCAATTAGAGCTACTCAACAAAAACACTTGACACATTTACCTCATTTTCTATTCTGTCTAAAGAGAGTATCCTAGAGGAAATAGAAGAACCAAATATTCATGATACTAATATTTTTTAAAACAAACACCACAGCTTCATTGGCAGATGGCAAAGTGAAACTCAATTTTCCTGGAATCTGAGCCAGAACAGCCCCACAATAGTTGAATCTTTGGAGTGTTACCACTTGAAAATTTCTTGGGCAATGGTAAGGGACTCCTTCCCTAACAGCAAACCTTAAAAGATCTCCCTTGTGGTACATACATTATAAAATCAAATCCTCACATATCTCTTCTTTTCTCTCACCAAAAAACAGGACTCATCATATCTGAGATTTTAAGTATCACCTTTAGATTGTGTATTTTACAGGTAACTCTCCTCAGTATTTCTCATAAGTGTTTTCTCCGCTCATCTTGAATACCGCCAATGATAAAGAATGTGTTAACTCAAGAACAGGTTAAAATAATTTTCAGATACTCATATTTGTTAAAAAAAAAAAAAAAGTTCCATAGGTTGAATTCAAACCTATCTTAATGCAAATCATATTCTTTAGCCTTTGTCCTACCCCTTGATGCAAAAGAGCATATATCTATTCCTTCATCCACGTGACTTTCAGTCCTTTAAAGATAATTTTCACATTTCTATCAGGTTGTCTCCTCTCCAGGTACATGGTCTCAAGTGTTTCAAAGCAACTTCATGTACTATGATTTTAAGTTTCTGGCCATTCTTTTCTGGTTGGGCTCCACTATGTTTAAGTTATCTCTAAGTCTGGCAGTCAGAACTAAAAGGACTATTAAACTAATTACCTTAACTAAAAAGATTTAATGGTTGAAAACAGAATACATTAGAACTACGACCTCTTGCTTGAAAAACAGCATTTCTACCAACAAAACATAAGACTGAATCATACTGCTGACTCAAACTACCCTTTGGTAAATAAAAATAACTAAATATTTCTCATATCTTTTATATTAATGGTTGGCTTTACTTAAATGAAAAATCTTCTACTTAGTTATCTCAGCTTAGTTTATTTTGCTTTATTCGGTGCACCACTGTAATCTGCTTTAAAATAATTTAAAATTTTAACTTTATTAAAACTTAAATATTCTCTAGTTTTGTGTCACCCTCAGATTTGCTAAGCATAACATTCATAAAAATGTTGAAGAAGACTGGGCCAAGACCAGAATCACAGAGACCTCCTTCCCAGCTAACACAAATTCAACTGGTTTTGGTTACTTATCCAGTTATGAACCCATATAACTGAATTATTTTCCTTCATTTTTCGCTGTTTTATCCACAAAGATAATATGAGACACCTTACTCAAGGCCATGGTATGAACCCATATAACTGAATTATTTTCCAGCATTTTTCGCTGTTTTATCCACAAAGATAATATGAGACACCTTACTCAGGGCCATGCTAAAATCAAGAAACACAATGTATTTTTCTCCTCATCTACGTGTAGGTACGCTATAGAGGATAGAAACTTGGCCTAAAATTGTTCTTTATGAACCCTATTGATAAAGACTCTCTTTTCAAAACATTTTTAAATGCTGTTTTAATAGCACATTATAGATTTTCCCCTGGAAGTAGAATCACATTTATCAATTTGGGGAAGACTATAAGGTCTAGAAAGTTCTGGACAAAATTATATGTTAAATATTTTTCCCTTATATATATTATATATAAGACAAATATATAATATATAAGACCCACTATTTATGACATGTAATGATTGATTAAATTTATTATCATTATAAAGTTATTATACATGGATATTTGTAGTGTACTGATACCCAATTAATGCAAAATAAGTAATTTCAATTATCTTTGATACCTTTTTGGGACAATGTATTTTCCAAATAAAAGAAATTTTATATGTATAATATCATAAAAATAAATCTTTCTATTCAAAAAATGAAATAAAAAACATACATACTTATAAATAAGTAGATCCTCACCTTTAACTGCCAGTCAAAATCCTGTAGCTGTGCAGAGGAAATATCAACAATTTCTTCTAACAGAGCCTGCTTGATTTCATCTTTCCTACTTCTCAAGCATTTTATGATAGCTTCTTGATGAAATGAATTCAATTGATTCAATTGCTGAGATATCTATGGAAATAAAAATAAATGGTTATAAAATGAGTGAAAGAGCCTCTTTCTGTTTAAAATATAAATATATAGTTCCACTTTCCTTTCACATACCCTTTAAAATGGCAGTAAATGAAAAGAAAAAAAAAAATACTTCCGTAACTATGAAAAGAACAAGATAAGAATGTATAATCAGCACACGAGGTTTAAGAAATTTTTGCAAAACAGAAAGTAAAAGAAAAGCACTGACTTATGAAGAGCATGGAAGTGAATACATCTGGAGACCGCTCAAAAAATAAAGCTGGTATCAATATATTAATATATAAGACAATATGTATAGCCTTTAAGGCAAGAAGTATTATAAGAAACAGAGAAGAATGGCAAAAGGTTTCCTCAACAGAAATTTATAACAATCATAAACTTGTATGTACCTAATAACAGCTTCAAAATATATAAAGCAGCAAAATGGTACAACTAAAAAGAAATGAGTGATTCTACTTTCATAATTAGATTATGAAAATTAATCTAATACCTCTCAGTAACTAATAGGGACAAAAAAAGTCATAGAATTGAAAAACTCTTTCTACTTAACCTAATCTATACATAGAATACAACACCCAACAACTGTAGAATATATATTATTTTCACTTGTATGTGAAATGTTCACCAAAATGAACCATAGGCCAAGCCATGTAGCAAATCACAATCAAAGGATTGGAATCATACCTCCAAAATCTTTGGGCCACTGTGTAATTAAATCATAACTGATTTTTTTAAAAGTCCAAATATTTGAAAATTAAGCAACATGATAACACAGTACTAAGTGAAAAAAGAAATAAAGTCGACCATGCATAAACTCTTTCAGAGAAAAGGAAAAGAAAAATTTACTTCCTGATTCGTTCCATGAAACCAAAACAAAATTTCATACCCTGATGAACACACTATAGGAAAGAAAAATCATTGGCCAGTATCACTCAAATTCAGATGAAAAAAGTCCTAGGCAAAATACGAGCAAATCAAGTCAAATAAAACATAAAAAATGATAATACATCATGACCAAGCAGAGTTGTGTGTGTGTGGTTTTTTTTTTTGGGGGGGGCAATGTAGGTTAGTTTAACATTAAAAAATTAATGCAATGGACCCATTAACTAAGGTGAGAAATAATACATTCAGGAAATAAGCATTTAATAAAATTCAATAACCATTATAATAAAAATTCTCAGCAAAGTAGACGCTGTAGGAAGCTTCTTTATACTGATAATGGATATCTATAGAAGCACACAGTTAACATACTAACAGTGAAGTAGTGAACACATTCTCCCTAGGGTCAGGAATGAGGCACTACTTTCTTATTTTTCAGCACTGTCCTGATGGCATTAACAAGTGCAATAATGGAAGAAAAAGAAATAAAAGGTATTAAAATTCAAAAAGAAAATAATTACATACAAATTTTTAAAAATTTATAAACCATTGGATATAATAAATAAATTTAGAAAAAATGTTGGATACAGAATAAGTATACAAAAATCAACCTTATTTCTACATACTAGCAATAAACAATTGGAGAACAAAATTAAAGAACATCAGCGACATCAGTTACTTGGAAATAAATCTAACAAAATATTTGCAAGGCCTCTACTCTGAAGACTACAAAATAGTAGAGAGAAATTGAAGCTAATCTAAATAAATGGAAGGTTATACCATGTTCATTGGTAAGAAGGCTCAATATTGTTGATGCCAATTCTCCTCCAAATGATCCAGAGATTTATTGCAATACTCATGCTATGGACTTAGGTATGTCCCCTCAAAATTCATTTTGTTAAAACCCTAACCTCCAAAGTGATATTTGGAAATGGGGCCTTTAAGAGGTAATTAGGTTTAGGTGATGTCATAAGGGTGGGGCTCTCTCGATGGGATCAGTACCCTTATAAGAGATACCAGAATTTGTTCTGTCTCTTTCCCCTGGCCATGTGAGGACACAGTAAGAAGAAAACTATCTGCAGTGAGGGAAAAAAGCCCCCACCAGAGAACCAAAACAGTTAGCACCTTGATCTTAGACGCCCTAACCTCTAGAACTGTGAGAAATTAATTCCCATTGTTTAAGCTACCTAGTCCACGGTATTTTGTTATGATAGCCCAAGCTGATTAACACTCCTATCAAAATTCCAATAATTTTTTTTTTTTGGCTAAAATTGACAAGCTCATTTTAGCATATACATGAAAATGAAGAGGATCTAGAATAATCAAGCCAATCTTTAAGAAGTACAAGGTTGAAGGTCATCTACTATTAGATATCAAAACAATATAATGTAGCTTTAATTTTACAGTTATTAAGACAGTATTCTGTTGGCAAATATAGACGAATAGACTAATAGAGTAGAATAAAGAGTCCAGATACAGAATCATCCATATATGGTCACTTGATTTACAACATAGGCTGCATGGCTATTCTATGAGGCAAAGATGGTCATTTAGATAAATGGTGCTAGGTCAAGTGGAATTAATGTGAAAAATCTGTATTTGACCCCTACTTCATACACAAACATTAATTCAAAGTGCGTCAGTAACATAAACGTGACAGCTAAAGCAATCAAGCTTCTACAAGATAACATACAGAAACATCGTCATGACTTTGGCACATATATTTCTTAAACAGAGAATTAATACCACTAACCATGGAAAGAATCATTGACAAAATGGACTTGATTAAAAGTTAGCACTTTTGTTCACGAGAAGACACCGTTGAGAGTGAGAAAGCAAGCAACAAAATAGAAGATATTTAAAATACATATATCTAACAAAGAACTCATATCCAGAATATCACCCACGTCAAAATGACAAACATACATAACTCCATTTTTTAAAAAAGTGGGCATCCTACACAGCATGCATGTCCAAATGCTTTTTAACAAAAGTACAAAAGCAATTAAATGGAACGATACTCCATGACCCTGCAATTTCACTTCAATTGTTTATCCTAGAAAAGTTGGCCAATGTGTGTTCAAAGACACACAAATATTTGCAGCAGGCACTATTAGTAAAAATGAAAGAGGCAACGACCTAACTGTTCATCAGTAGAGAGAGAGAAAAATAAGTCCTATTAATTCCTATCATCAAATACTATAAGGGATCAAATTACATAAACTAGATCTACATTTATCAATATTCATAAATCTAAAACACAATGTTGCATTAAAAAATTAAGAATGAATACATGTTACACACTTAAACAACTTAAAGAACTGTGTACATTGCTTAAAGATGAAAGTCATACAATACAGAATATAAAACATGCACGCCAACTTCTTGAGTGGTGATCTCCAGGAAAAAAATGGCATACTCTGGTGATATTTAGGTATATCTGTAATGCCTTGTTTCTAAAACAAACAAAACTGAAATACATAAAGAAAAAATACATTTAAAAAAATACAAAAACCCAAACTTCCACAAATTTTCTACTTAAATGATGATGTGTTTCTTGTTATATAATATATACTTAGTAATGATGGCCCTTGTATTATATAGTGCCCTAAAGACCAACTCAATAAAAAATCTGAACTCTAAATTATTTATTATCTACCATAAGATATATCTAAATTATTTATTTATTATCTACTATAAGATATTATCTACTATAAGAAGTGTAGAGTATAGTTACCTCTTCATCAGATAAACTTTTACCAACTACAGCTTTGAAAAACTTGGTAATATCTTCTAGAACATGTACCCATTCTGTTGAATCCCAAACACTCTGATAATCCTGGTAGAGAGGATAAGTTCGGCCACAGATGCCATCAATTATTTTGTGAAGAAGCTGGAGAGAAAAAAAAAAAAAGAAAAGAAATGTAATTATGAGTAAAATTATATAACAGATTTACCATCCTGTAGCAAACAAATGTTGTTGAGAGAAGTTCATGTTATCTGCAAGAGCAACTAAGGTTGAAATGCAACTATTTTTAACATTATCTTATTAATTAAAAGTTAGAACTTTACAAAAAAAAAAAATTCTATAATTTTGTCCATGTGCAGAAGCTAAAATAATTTTATAGATACACTGTTGATTCTCTAAAGTTCCTGAAAGGAAGATGGTGAGTATAAAAGTTTCATCTTGGAGACCTTAGGCATCGTACTTATACCAAGAACCAAAAAATAAAAAATAAAAGTATGACTCTTAGATCAAAGTCTTTTACTATAGATCTACGAACTATATTTTCCTTTCTTCCATTTTTCACAACATTCATATTACTTCTTTTGGTCCCTTCAGTACCTTTCTTTTCTTTTTTTTTTTTTTTTTACCTTCCTTTTTCTCTATCCTACCTTAATATCAGCAATAGGAATCCTAAGACATATACAAGTCAACATAGTAATTAAGATTGTGTATTTTGGAATGAAACTGGCTAGTCTGAATCCTAGTTCCACTACTTAGCTAGTTTTATAAAGTTATTAAAATGTTCTGTGCCTCTGGTTTGTACAGAGCACTTAAACATTGCTAGCCATTGTTATCATTCTTCTTCTTATTATTTATTATCAGTTACTACTACTACATTCCATGTCTTTAACATATTAACTTAGCATCTACTATGTCAGCCCTATTCAAGGCAAATGATTAACATTTCTTAGGGGATATTTACATCTTGTAAGAATCAACCCAAATAACCTGGAAACACGTTGAAGCGGCGAGTCCTCCAACTCTATTCCCCTGGATCATATTCCACTCCATTTTAAGTGATAACTCCTTCTCTATAACACCACACATATCAGAACAAAGATGAGCAACTGATGACCCCATTCCAAATGATGGCTAAAGCACTGTATGAATTTCCTCATTTGTAAAATCGGAGAAGAGAATTAAGATGGCTTTCTTGATCCTGGTAGAAATTAAATTAATTCGCTCCTACCCTGCCCAAACTTTCCCTTGCAAGTGGAACGAAGGAAGATGGATGGTCAAACTTTGGGACTTATAAAAGCTACCCAACATACCCCTCTATCACATTATGTATACTAAGCACCCATCCCCACCCTTCACCCACTGTATGGAAAAGAATTGGGACTTAAGCAAAGCTGTCAATCATTGACACTATAGGCCAGCCTACCAACGCTTGGGATCCAGATGACTGTCCCAATGATAAAGTTAGTTTTATGTATATTAATTGATTCCTTCCCTCAACAAACACTGATTTAAGAACCCACCTTGGGCCAGACACAACTCTCAAGAATTGTGGATATAAAACAAGTACTTACCCTGAAGGAGTTCAGAGTAAGATAGAGACTAGAGGCAAGAAGACCAGTTAAGAAGTTATGTTCAAGGGTAACTTCACATGGTCTGAATTGTTTGGGGATAGAGATGGTGGGAGTAAACATATTAACATACTACTTACAATCAAAGTGTTAGTAAGTAGTCTTAAGTCAGAAGGTAAAGAGAACTACAGCTCCCAGAGCTAATGCTAAAGCTGAATTCTGCATATATTGTTATCTTTCATGAGTTGGCAAATTTCCCTCAGGTCTAATATTTGGAACACTAAGTTTTTTGCTGAGAACACTTTTCAGTCAGATTTTCCTCTTATAGCAACCACTGTTTTTTTTTTTTTCCTTTTACAGTTTAGTCAGGAAACTGCTTTTTGTACTTACTTTCTCCACATTTCTCTCATCTTTCAAAGTCACTAAAACGTTGCTGCTGCCAAAAACAATACTTTATAAACTGCCAGTGCCTTTCGTAGTAAGGCTAAACACAGGAGCATAGCGTAAAGACTGGAGCCACCTGATTCCTGCTCGTTTGTCCAGCCCTAGTCTCCCAGTTCTGCCTATTACTCCCATTTTCAGCCTCTAAGAACTATAGCAGGTCCTGGAAGCCCCCAAGGGTGGGGGTGGTGGGAATGGGGGAGGCTGCTTTTCTTCTTCTCACCTTGGTAGCTGCTATTCCTCTGCCTAAAACATTCTCTCCCCTCTGGCCTGTTTGGTCCCTACTCATCCTTCAGGACTCAACCTAGAAATCTAGATGTTCCTGCTCTGGAAAACCTTCCCTTGCTCCCTTCAAATCTAGGTTGCTGCCCCTTCCACAAGCTCATCACTGGAGAACTCAGTCTGGTTTCCTTACTAGACAGCAAGCTCCACCAGGGCATAGGCTGCATCTCATTTACTATTTTATCTTATTCCACCAGGGCACTTAGCACAGGGTAGACTTGAACAAAAAGTTGGCTGAAAGAATGACTGAGGCTTTTTCCAGGTCCTCACAAGCCAAGTTCTTATTAGATTGGAGGTGCCAACGTATATCACCTCTTGAGGGAAAGGCCACCATGGACCACCCTACCCAAAGTAAGTCGCCCAGTTGTCGGTAGTACTTATGGTAGTACTTACTTTTTTTTTTTTTTTTCTGTCGCCCTACAGGGGGCCGGGTATGCTTTCTAGGTCACCACGGTATCCCCAGCACCTAGGACTGTGCACAGGGAGTTTTCGGGAGGTATGTGATGGATGAATGAATGAAACTTATGTGAGAAGCTGCAAACCCCCTATTTGGCATTGTAAGCTTTCAAAGATCATGTGGCAGCTCCACACCCCAGCCCAGGGTCACTGGGTCCCGGGCCAAGCCACGGAGCTGACCGGTCAACCCCACCAGGGAGCGGACGCGGCCCCGCAGAGTCTGCGCGCAAAGCCCCTAGAGTAGAGGGGTAACTCCAAGCTAGGGTGCAGATGCAGCGCCCCAAGTCTCGGCCTCCTCAGCTCTTTAGAGGAAGCCGGGGGCCAGCCACTCGAAATCACGCCCCTTCCTCCTCCCCTCCACGGGCGACCGGAGCCAGCCCTGCGAAGGCGTCTCGGGAGACAGGGCCTGACTCGCACGCCGGGCGGTCCAGAGCCCCACGCCCCGCGCTGCCGTCGCCTGCGCTCTCCTCACCTGCAGGCCCAACTCGGCTGGAAGCTTCTGCAGCCGCCACAAGGGTGTCCCCTCTTCCGGCTCCATCCCTGGACGAAGCTGGAGCCTGGGTCACATGACAAGGTCCGGTCGCTCCTCAAGTGTGATGGTCCCCCACGTGACTCTCTCTGGTGGGGCGGGGACCCGGCGTAGAGCCGCAGCAGCTCTTGTGCGCGTGCGCAGAAATACAGCCACCGCTTTCTGTGTTAAGATCCTTTTTCGCCTAGTGCAACATTGATCGAACACCCTTGTATTATTACCTTAAAGGCAGATTTGCATATCTCTCAAAGCAGTTTATAACTTTGTTCAGAGTTCTTTTCAACTTTTCCTGCACTCTTTATAAGGCCTTCTAAAAGGGTAACCATAGTTTGGGGTGCACCCAGAGTCATTGTCCCGGAGGTTTGACATGTCTCTTGCCGAAGAATCCTGATTTAGAAGGTGAATTGAGAGGGTTTACCGAGCGCGAGATTCTTTATATAGATTATCCAAGAAAGTACTATTTTCATTCTTATTCCAAGAAACAGATATGATCAAAGAAGTTACTAGGGTTTTCAGATTTAGCAAGTGAAAATATGGGACACTCAGTTAAATATGATATTTCAGATAAACAATAAATAACCTTATTATAAGTGTGCCTTATTGATTGCATAGGGCATACTTAAAAAAATAATTCACTGTTTATCTGAAATTCAATTTTAACTGGGTGCCCTGTATTTTATCTGTCAACCCTAAAAGTCATTTACCCAAACTAAGAGGCACAGCCTAAAATTAAAATCAGTCAGACTCTAGAGCCACACTCAACGTTGGACTAAACCTAAAACTCAAACAGCCTTTCTGTCATTTCTCTAGTTATTACAACTATTCCTTTAATGAGGTGCTGGAGAATTTAGCGGTGGTACGATCGTCCCTGCCATCCAGAAATGCATATTACATAGGAGACAAAAACGAGAATTAACAATCTAATATAAATTAAGTGTTTTAAAGTGGTGCAAAGTGATGAAGCATACCACAGAGGAGAAAGTAATTTTTTAGCCTGTGGGCTCTGCCAAGAAGAATTTTTAATTAGTGACATCCTTCAAGGCTTAGCTCAAATACCCTTTCTCTATACTGTGTCTTGGAGGTGAAAGCAATGTCTCCCTCTGAATTTTCATAGCTGTCCCTCACTTAAAATATTTATCACTTTCTGCTTCTTAATATTTGTAGTTATGTACAACTCTGGTTGTCCCAACTGAAACAATTGTCTTGAGACATTTTGTCTTTGTGCATAGGAACTCTCTAAGTAACAGTTAATAAATGAGAAAGAATCTGGAAAATTCCTACCTAATAAATGTCTGTTAGTAAGTCTACAGAAAGTAAGGTCTGTTTCCTAAGAAAAAAACTAAATTTTATACATTGTAGTAGTTGGAATAAAAATATTTATCAAGCATCTACTATATGTCAAACAATTTATATATTTTATTTCATTAATCCTCACTACAACCTTGTGTGGTGGGTATTATCCCAACTTTAAAGATGAGGAAACAAGCTTGGTGAAGTAATATCGACCTTGTCCAAGGTCATGTAGGTAGTAGTTGCAAAATCACTGGTCTGAGTTTGGAACTGGTGGTCTCAGTATATATATTTCACAGGCCCTAATGAGGGCAGAAAGAGATTCTGAGGTAATAAGACTTACCTAAGGCCATATGACATTGCTAAATAATGCAAATAGGCATAGCAAGTAGGGCACGGAATTTAGTCAGAGGACACAGAATTATGAAAAAAAATTATTATTATTTTACTTTTTTAGACGAGGCAACCCTCGGTTGACCTCACAGATTGCAAGGACCTTGTCAGTTCACAATCCTTTTTTTTTTTTACGCCTATAGCACCTGGTGTTCCTAGGTGGTCTCCCATCCAAGTACTAACCAGGCCCGACCCTGCTTAGCTTCCGAGATTAGACGGGATCGGGCTTGTTCACAGTGGCATGGCCATAGACAGAGGACACAGAATTAGGTACTGATTTTTCTTTCAAGCAGCACTACGTACCAGAAAGAATTTGCTCTTTCCTTCGGAATTTGATTATTTTTTTTCATTCTGAGCTGAAAGGAAATGGAAGTTTTGTCTACCATGCCTTGGGAGAGTCATTCATTCACTCATTCTTAAACAATTATTAGTTAAACATCTACTGTGCATTAGGTGAGACTGCAAGCAGAGAATATTAGCTTACCTTCTAGTTGTGTGTGTGGAAGGGGAGGGAGTCCTCAGATAATGAACAAATAAGTAATTAAGATAATGTCAGCTATTGAGAATTATCTTGAAGAAAATGTAACAGGTTGATATAATAGAGAGGGATGGTAGAAACATAATTTATGTTGGTCAAGGAGTACCTTGCCAAAAAGTATATACTGAGGCATGTAGGATGAGAAGGACACATTAAAGCAAACATCAAATGCTGGTAGAATATAGAGGCCTTGAAGTAGAAGAAAACCTGCCTTATTCAGACTAATAGTCGAAGGGTTGTGTAGTCGAACTCTAGTGAGCAAGGCAGGAGAGGTAGAGATATCAGAAACCTAGGCATTGACCAAGATTTAGGAAACACTTCTGTTCCACAGAGTTACTCTGAGAATTTATATTCTCTATCATTGTGGGTTGTCTTACTAGTAAATTACGAGTAACTTTCCTTTGTCCTTAAATTCTGGGGCTCTCTCCTTTTATCCATGAACTGACATTAGTGTCAGTAATTACAATGTCTGACAAATGTTCAAGGAATTAAGAAAAGCTGTTAATTCATTATTCAGAGTTTATGGCATCCTATATTAAAGGAAATTGTGTGTAGTGTTCCACATCTGTTTTCTCAGTTCAAACTTGCTTTTCAGGTTATCTTATGACTTGAAGTTGACTAATTTCTTCACCTTAATTAGATATGTTGCAATATAGATATGCTTAGATTTTTGCATTGCAATCTATGTAAAATTATTCCTGTTCATAAATTGTTGAGAGAAAAGGGCCTTTAAGTTTGAATAAGTTTATTATAACCATAAAAGAAATTTTTAAATGTTATATTGGCATTGGTTTTACTACATTGAAAGAAGTTAGGAATAGCTAATTTGTAAAGATTTGAGAGGTATTGGATTTAATCTTGTTTGTATAAACTCAGATATTTTGGCTGCCTAGAAAAACAGTTCCTTAGAAAGTCAGTTGGATAAATGTCTCATTTCATTCTGGTGAATGCAATAAACTAAAGGCTATTGCCTTTCTTTCTGAGCTTTGTAATTAAGAAATGCTTTTAACACCTCCTTATTCCATGTTTTCTTTATCAAAAATATTCTTGTAGCTTAATCCATTTGAGTTCTCTGTTAATGAGATGTTTGAAACAAATAGACATTTTGACAACGCAGTAGAGATCGGACATAACAGTTATTTCAGTGTAGCACTAAAAAATACAGTATCTTAAGAGCTCTGTAATTGCTCCGTTAAAGTGAAATCCTTGAGTGAACTGCAATTTTGGACCTTAGACATAAAGCATTGTAATCTAGACAATATCCTCGGGGGGTGACAGTCTTTTCTAATGGCATGTCAAGTGCTCAATTAGTCTCTCTGATGAAGGTTCTGTGCCTGTAAGACCTCCCTTTTCTCAGTTGCCACCTTTTTAAATCATTGTACTGAAAGGCTCCACATCTGTGAGCTTTTAGGATTTCAGCCAGTGGTTCTTAATCAAGATAGCACATTACAGTCACCCCAAGGAATATTTTGAGTGATAATGCTTTTTCACTTTAAATGTGCTACACTTGTTTTTTGAATCATTTGGTAATTTCCACAACATAAAATCCTCCAAGTACAGTTTAGTAGAGTTCCTAAATTTGTACAGTTGCGTAACCATCACCACAATGTACGTTAGTTAAAAATAAAATGCTGACACACACACACACACACACACACACACACACACACACACACACACACACACATATGTATTTTTTTAAAGACCTGGAAGGTTACACAACATACATGCAGCTTCTGGAAATGTGACTTGGAGTAGTGTTGAAAGAGACTTTAGTGATATGTATAATATTTTATTAAAGAAACAAGAGATTGAAGGAACATAATCCAAAATGGTAACTGCAATTAATTCTGAATGGTAGGATACTGTAAATTTGCTTTATGTTCTTTATACTTTTCTAGATTTTTTAAATTTCCAAAACAAAACAAAAGTAAAAGCAGAGATCGCGTGATAGGCCCAAGCTAGTTCAGATGGAGGGGAGCTCACTATCAAGGGTGATCGGAGTCATCCTGGTAAAAGAATAAGCAGGATTTGGAAGATGAGTTGAATATCCATAGGCAGAAAGGATGAGCATAGCAATTTAGTTGCAAGGAATCACATAAAACAAAAGGACAGATAATAATACGCAGTGTCACAATATATCCACAAGTGAGCAAATTTTAAATCAAAATTTGATGCCAACAAAAAAGAAATTTCTAATATGTACTGTTATGAGGAATATTCATATCCAAAGCAAAGCAGGTAGATTTTTCTAAGATAATCTTCTGTTGGCATTTTTGCTAAATTATATAGCAGAGCAAGACAAAACTAGAACTTAAATAATTACAGTGTTTGAAGCCAAAATAACCTCAGAAGGCATCTAATCTCACTTCCTTTTACAGAAGAAGAAATTGAAGCTCTCAGGATATAAACCACCACTGGTCAGATCCAATCCAGACTCTGATTATTGCATCAAAGTCATTAGAACAAAATTCGATAAGGCTACTCGTGTCTTGACTTTCTTCTATAGTTACCCACTTGATGTGCTGGAATGTAAGGAACGTGCTCACTTCGACAGCACATATACTAAAATTGGAATGTAATAGAAATGATGAGTGGAAGTTATAATGTATGCTCTAGACAGTAAGTTTTTAAAACCCACAGATGAAACAGACACTTTTATAAATTCACTTTTTGTTAAATCTATTTTATTCTAATCTTTTTTACGTGAAGAAAGGTTTTTTTAATCAAAGAAATTTTAGCATAGATTAAATTATGCAAATTTAGAGCACATAAAAAGATAATATAAGCTCTCTATTTTAGGATCTGTAAAATATGGTTTAATGGCGTACACACACTCAAAATATTTT